GTTGATGTTGATGTGAGACTGGGTGTAGGTAAAGGGAAACGAACGCACACGTACACCTTGAAAGAATGATTTCTATGGGAAGGGGGAGGGGCAGGGAGCGGCGAGAATACATTCCGATTTTTATCCTCTTACTTTTTGAGACAATCATGTTAAACGGCAATTTTGCATGAATAATGATTATAGCTAATAATCGATAAAGTAAATTAGGTTGTGGATATGGCTGTAAGCGATAGTCTCCTATTCAACCATTCATTCGCTCACGCACACCCGCACAGCTTCAGAAGGTTCTTTATTATTACTTTTTCATGGTGTTCGAATGGCCTTCGATAGATTAGTGAGTCTTATCTAACGTCCTTATTCAAGAAAGAAGTACGCCAGGTGCTTTGAAAATGTCAGTTGGGCGTTTTTCTCATTATTTGATTCGAGTGAATTAGAAGATATTTGGTTTAAAAACATCAAATATGATCGTATAATGGTAGTCTATATTATTTTTACTAACAAAAGCATCTACCAATACCTTTCCGCCATTTAACTTGTATATTGGGACGGGTGGTTTTGATTATGATGCACTTCGTCTGAGTGCCGATAGAAGTTATCAATATGCGAATACGCATACATTCGGTGCTGGTCTTCAAGACTATGATGAAATCATTTACACATGAACATGAACAAGCCGAGCTCGGTTATTATCAAGTCTAACTTGATACACATGGTATCAATGTAGAATTAACTACTACTGAGCAATTCGGTATTCATCGATATTCATTCAATAATATCAATAAAAAGCATCGTATCATACTTGTTGATAGTAGTTATACACTACCACTAAAAGTTTGCAATATAAGCCATGTGAAAACAGATTCAACAAAGAATGAGACAATCGGTTTGATATCTTTCGAAGAAATTTTTTCCATTATTTTTGACGGCGTGACAACATATTTTATTATTACATTTACTAATAGGACAGATTTTGGTGTTTGAACAAACAATGATTGGTGGATATTCATCAGGCGCCTATGTCATTCTACCTGCTGATCAACAACAGATTACAGTCTATGCAAATTGAACTGAAACCATTCGATGTTATATGTGAACTTGTACAAAATAAGTGGTTCGATAAAATGTCTCGTTTTGAAGTATGTTGAATTTCTCAGCAAGAAAAAAGAAATATTTGTGAAAATTTTCCAAACCTTTTAGATCACTGTCGAATGGAATCATGAAGCTGTAATCAAATTCAATACTGCCGAATTATTCATTCGCTAGCGAGACCGAGTCAATAGGACGAGTCGAATGGTGTCTATTTATCTATTGATAGTCAAATACATCATAAGCCTGATAATATAGAACATATCTATATAGATTTATCAAAATTCGATGTTCATGATTCACAGCAAGCCAATGATATTATTCGTTCAATTATGCTTATTGTTGAACAAGGTGATAATTTGTCAAAATGGTCATTGACCAATGAATATACAAATTGTATGATTGGTTCACATGGTGATATTTTCGTAAGTGATTTAATCATCAAATATCAGCATAATATTCATCTCAATATGGTTTAGTTTGCCCAAATATTAAGAAAAGTATCCAATGAGGTACAAGTGCATGATAGCCATTTTGATCCACCTACATATATAAAATATCAATAGGTACTATATAAAATGGATCATCACTCGGCATCGCTTATAGTTAGCTATGCCTACGATGACTGAGCGATTCGCAATGTCATGTATGCTGCAGGTATTATTGATGAAGCACAAGAATATTATAATAGAATCGGTCTCGATTGTTTGAACATGTATTCGAATATAAAACAAAAATTTGTCTGTGCTCGAAAAACTGTTGACGACTTTCTCTGTCCATCAAACGAAATCGAGGGTGTGGGTATGTGTGAGCGAAGAGAGGATGCATATCGACACACTCACACGCTGCATTTATCCTCATCTACGTTTGGTCTTCATAGACATTTAGACATAAATAGAGCTTTAAACACATTAATTCAGATCGGAAAGGTACAACTTGTTTTGCGCTTATTGAGTACGTAGGTTTTCCATTTTGAATTCAGCAACAAATATAATGCTAGGTATTTCTTTTAGAATGTATAACTTTTATTTATTTTTTATTTAGATTGCAATCAAGCAATGTATTCAACAGTAGATATTGTATTTTTAAATCAAGTTTTTGCTCTATTATTTAGATCAATTTAGACAACAGATTAGATAGTAAGTATCTCTTTCAAGTGAAGAAATAATATCTCGTGTGTTTAAAAGAGAGAGAGGAGAAGGAGGAGAAGTCCTTTACTCTTGAGTGACTGGAAACGTATATGCTCATCCGGAGAAGACATATTTCCGATCTGATTAATTTTCTCGTTCGTTTACTTTCAAATGCATTTGAAACGTTAGAAGATGTGCTACGAATAGAAGTAACTGTGCTATAAGTTCCATTACGATCAAATTGTGTGACACTTATGATTATACTTCAATCACGTTGCAACTTGTTATTGCTGAAATATACGATGAAACCAACGTGTAACCGTAAAATTTTCATCGTGATTGTGTTTACGTGTAAAGTAGCACTGGTAATTAGGCATAACTGTGTCACAGTGAATGAAATGTGAAATGCACTACGAACATGTTATTGTGATTTCACATCGTTGAAACAGACATTTTATAATTACTTACTAATGTGACGTTAATGGCCACTGCACATACTATCGAGCTTGCTATCAATGTTGACACAATGTTGGTTATTTTTTTAAATATGCTGAAATACATACTACGGAAATTGAAGAATTCTAAGTGACGGAAACCATTTCGGAATCATCTGCACAGATGTCTCGTCTGGCCATATTCAATATCAATATTCATCGTCTTTGTTGTCGACACATACATTTGAAATTATTAAACAAAGCTTCAGACAAAGTGCATGGTTCAGGTTTTGCTATTTCCGGTGAACTTTGGTTCTAATAGGTCCAAGTATACAAGATAATTCCTTTCTTATGTGAATTCGTACGGTAAGGTGTCTTTATGTCATTTGAAACAAAGATACTATCTGACTCACAAGACATATTCGACGGTAGCCCACAACATTTTATTCAGCGTCTATACGTTATGAGATGCACAAATCAGACATTCGAGATTGCGTTATGATAAACTATCATGAAATACACGTATGAAGGATATTGACTGATTGTGCATATTTAAAACACAAAAAAAAGTAATATTAGACAACATAACAAGTACTTAGTGCAAAATCTTGCCATTTTCATGTTTACAGCTAGTAAGAACAAATCAGGTCAATACGTATTAATTTATCTCTCAGTAAAAAAGTTGATCTAATAAATTGTTGAAAAGAAGAAACGAGATACTAATAATCTCTTAATAGAGTGAGCCCTTTTGACCAGTCTCAATGGCGTTTACATCAGAAAGATTGTACCGTAGATTCATTCAACTTTTCTCTGTTCTCTCTGCTAAGGTACAATGATTTCATGATCTTTTTCTTTTTTTCTAGTTTGTTGTCTTTTGAGAATATTCTCATTTTTTTATTACGCTTATATATATATATGCATGCTCCTTTTCTCATAGACGAATTTATGTTATTCTTGATTTTGAAAAACATTTTCCATTTTTCTTTTGCTACGTAGTAGAGGTATACTTACATCTTTATTTAACAAACTTTTTAAAATTTTTCATTCAGGGTGAGATAAAACTACTTGTAATCTTTATTTCTTTATATTCTGTTGATAATTAAAAACTAAGCAAATGGAATTCCATAAAAATAACGAAGTCAATGACGAGTCCTTTAATTCATGTGCTAGTGACGACAGCAAGTTAAAGGACTTCAATTTCGATTATAATGAATTAACAGATAATGGAAATGAAATTGGAGCTTCTGATATTTAAAAGATAACATCAGTTTTCGATTAAAAATACATTACATCCTCAAAGAGTTAACGTAGTAAGATCTAGTTTCCGAACAGGGCTATCAGATTCAAATCTAAAAAGCCAGGAGGGAAAACCAGTAGATCTTTATGGAACTGAAGTAACTATTTGAGTGGCTTGTTTCGAAAGAAACTGAAGTTTTTGTTCATATAACTATCCGTTTCTTTCTACTATTAAGTTACTATTGGCAAGACTATCCTCTAAGTGATGCATAACGAAGAGATTGAACGATAATTTATGCATTTTTCCAAAAGTAAACAAGCTAACGAATTCGATAATCATTTGTTTTTAATGTTCACAAATAACGTTTAGTTACTTTCATGCATGATTATGAAGTAGTTTTCGATTTGAATTTTTTTCCAGTGAAAAAGAATCAGTATTTTTACGTGATTTGGTAAAGTTTGTCACAAAAAATTTCCTCTAATAAGTCTCACACTTCAGTGTTCACATCTTCTTACAACGTATGTATTCGATAAATATACAGTCGATTCTTTCTTTTTATCCACAGTGACACAAGTCTTTGCCATAGG